TGATATCTCAGAGTAGTTTTGATTTGCATTTCTCTGATGATTAAGGATGGTGAGCATTTTTTCATATATCTGTAGGCCGTACGTCGATCTTCTTTGGAGAAATTTCTCTTGGAAATAATTATTAAAGCTCGGAGTTTTCATACCATAATATGTTGTAGTTGGTATTTAAAGAAAAATTAAACAATCATAACTTAAAATATACGTTTTTAGTTATCAAAAAGTAAAGAATAAACTTTCCAGGGAAGTAAGCAATTTCAAATTGAGGTTTTTCCATCATCAGTACCCTGCATCTGATTCCTTTATTTATTTCCTCCCTCTGTTCTTCTGTTTCGATTTCATGAAGTAAAAACAGCTTTTCCGGGTAGCACCTGTGGCTCAGTGGAAAGGGCACCGGCCCCATATACCAATCGACATATAGCTACTTTTGGAGTCCAATTTCCTAAAAGTGGTGAGTTCGAGCCCAACCCTGGCCAAACTGCAAAAACAAAAAATAGTGGGGCTTTGTGGTGGTCACCTGTAGTCCCAGCTAGTCAGGAGGCTGAGATAAGAGAATTACCTAAGCCCAAGAGCTGGATGTAGCTGTGAACTGTGACCCCACAGCACTCTACTGAGGGTGATGAAGTAACACTCTATCTCTAAAAAAAAAAAAAAAAAAAAAAAAAAGAACAGCTTCTCCTACCACTTACCAAATGCTTTTCTCAAGCCATTTAGCCTGGACAGATTCTCTCTTCTGCTACCAATGGACTCAATCCCATAGAATTGAAGGGTGCTTTAGAAAAGAGAGGCTCAAAATTCCTAGTTCACTAAATTTTATTGGAATATGGGAATTAAGTTTTTCAGTGACTAAGCCATAGATTCTTGCATTGGAATATAAAGTGTGAGGGAGATAAAGACAAAAGCATACATGTGAACAACGCTAAAAAACAAAAACAGACTAGATGTCACTTGTCTTGGATGATAAGATAGGATAAAAATTATAAACAGGGATAGAATGCTTTCCTTTTCAAATATCCTTAGGAAAATAACTCACCAAGCTGTAAAAAACATATCTTGGGTATGTATTTCAAGATACATTTATTTATTTTAATTGCTTTTAATTTGTGTGAGTTCATGCTACACAATTGCCTTGGCATTCAAAACAGGACATGTATGGACATGTATGTATGATTCATCAGAGGCTAAACTGGTAAATAAAAGGAAGAAATCCAACATTTTTCTTGATTTTCTGTACCACTAATTAACTAAAGAGTAGGTGACAGGGAGTTTCTCTTCATAGAATCATTCTTGCAAATAAATTAATGACATGAAAAAAGCAGTCATTGCTAACCTATATTTTTATCCAAATGTGTCACTTGGTTAATAAAAGTCTAAATATAAACAAGGAAATGATTACCAAACCAGTCAAGAGGGGTGGTTACCCTTTAGGGGAAGAGAGGGTGCTGTGATTAAGAGGGGCTAGAAAGGGTTAGGGTGGCTAATACAGTTCTAACTCCGTATCTGGGGAGTGGTTGAGATTTTACTAGGTGATCATACTATTATTTGATAAACTGAACTTTATCTTAGGTTTTTCTGTACTTGTGCTATATTTGACAGCAAGACTTAAAAGAAAAAAATGACGGAAGAGGCTGGTCTGAGTCTCATTTCTGCTGGCCAATCCAGTATGCAGGAGGAACTCAAGGTAGACCTAACATTTGATCCCAGAAATCCCACGCCTAGGTGTCTACCCAAAAGAAAAACAATTAACAAAAAAGACACCTGCACTGGAATGTTTATCTTAGCACAATTCACAATTGCAAAGATGCTGAATCAACCTAAATACCCATCAACTATACATGGACTAAGAAAATGTGGTGTATGTATACAGAATGTTTTATACATAGTATATATCTATACACACACACATATACCATGGAGTACTACTCAGACACAAAAAGGAATGAAATAATATCTTTTGCAGCAATTTGGGTGGAAATGGAGACCATTATCTTAAGTATCTCAGGAATAGAAAAGCCAACACCACATGTTCTCACTTGTAAGTGGGAGCTAAACAATGGGTACCTATGGTCATAAAGTGGTACTCAAACAATGGATGTTGGAAGCTAAGAAAAGAGGAGGGTGGAAGAGAGAGATGTGGGATCACAACTTAGCTATTGGGTATGGCACATGCCATTCTGGTGACAGACACACTAAAAGTCTTGACTTCACCATTGTACAATTCATCCATATCACTAAAAATATTCATACTCTCTAAATCTGCTAAAATAATAATAAAAAATT